AATGTTCAATGCTTTGTCCATTCCCAAGTCGCCTAGCTCCCTCCTGTCCTCATGCTACTTGAATGGGGATGAGTTGGAATGGATAGTCATTCAAAGTGGGAAAAATGGTTACCAGGTGGAATAGAACTGTTTATAATAAGCCTTTTAAAAATGTGTAGCCATTCATGTTCCATTTTGAAAAGAACAAATCGCCATTTCTCCTCATGACAGAGAATACAAGGAGAATGCAAAATAGAAAAACATGAATCAGCTCTTATAACAAGGATTACAACAAGAACAAAAAGTGACACATGCATCATCCGTCCCTGAGGCGATGGCTAAACTGGGAGTTGGAAGCGCTGTGAACGCAATTTTCTTTTTCCTGGTGTGGGCTGCATATATCTGTTGGCAAAGTGAAAAATATTACAAGATGAATCAAAGGCAAATTCTACATCAAATAACAGCCTCATTATTCATTTAGAACCTATACCATAACTCAGGTGGAACTCAGAAATGGGAGCCCAGCCTTTACGGAGCTAGCCTAGAAACACAACGGCCGGAAGGAATATTGGATCATGTGCCACACGGCTCGATCTCTCTGTCATTGGTCTCTTTATCACAGGACTCTAAAAACAAACACCGCAATTATTCTCACTATAACCCTTCTGGACAAATGAAATGCTCTTGTTCTTCTGGTACCAAGTATACGTCTGCCACTTTTCTACAAAGTGGTGACATCAAAATGAAAAAGCTCCACCCCAAGATGGTATTGAAGTAAAAGAAAGCCTACAGGGAAGGGAGAGGATGCTGGAAGAGGAAGGGGAGTAGAATTATCTTGGAGGATTGACTGCACTTTACTGTGTGATCCTCAGTTTTGTGAATTCAGAAACTCAGTTTTCAGTCCCCCAGAGGTCATCAAGCTCAGTTGATTTAATCTTGCAGAATACTTCATGTGACAGGATGAGCAGAATGCTAATTTATTAATTTATAAAGAAAAATATTGCTACACATTGACTCCAAGGTTTAATTAATTGGAAGGCCTGATGATGCATCTACCCTGACAGGAGGGAACCTCCTTCCGGAGACTAGATAGGGCAAGTCCATAGGGAAGGCCACCCTGTTCTTTTCCCTAATGAATTAGTGACCATAATAATATCTTTTATCTGTGTTCCTATGCTTTCTTGCCAACCATCTTGCTTCTCTCAACTTTCTTTAGATTTGTTACCACCATGTACACTATGGTAGATGTCCCTTGCTTCTTTCTTATTTTATTGTTTTTGCTTTTATTCCCAATGTAAATTTTGTATTTAAATATTTTTATAAATGCTTAATCTGTGATGTCCAATTGGTAATATAGAACATTTGTCCCAGAGATATTATGGGAAAAAAAGTGGGCCATTGTCAAACAGTTTTGGAAAATGCTGAACAATATATGCCACTGTTAACGATTCATAATGCACTTGAACTTATTGAAGACTCTGAGAAACGTTATGCCATAAATACAACTACATAAATGTGTTAACCTAGTGTTTCACAAATTTTCTGTACAGGGAAATCCTTCATCTTGTAACATCTATTATCATCTCATAGAAAACACTGGTCACGTCTGCTGTGTGCTTCTTTGATCACTTAATTCCCAGTCAGATTCCTGGAAATGACCTTCTGGAATCCTGATGGGTCTCCTATACAGACAGATCATTATAAAATAATTGAGGACTCAACAGTGCTGATAAATCCATAACCTTTTCCCCAGACTCCAAATTCATATATACAATGTCAGAATTGGCATTTCTTCTTTTCTTTCTAGACATTTCTTTAGTTTGGTTCTTTCTTCATCTTACAGTCACTGCCTCTTTTCATATACTCATTATTTTGCAAAATTACTCACTCCTTTATTTGAGACTCCTCAAATTCATCCACGTTTTTACCAGAATGTTTTTATAAATTATTCTTTTTGCCATTAACAAAGAACTTTAAAGTATCATATGTTCATTTTAGATAATTTAGAAAGTATAGAAATAGATAAAGAGGAAATTAAAAATAACCCATTAATTCCATCATGTAGAGAAACCCCTAGTTAATATTTCATGAATTGTTAATATGTGTTATTTTTCTTGTCTGAGCAAAGATTTTATAGAAAAGACCTCAAAA